GAGCGGGATGAAATATAAAATTACTGATTTCGTCTCCAAATGCCTTACACACCAACAGGTTAAAGTAGAGTATTAACGCCCAGGCAGACCACTTTAGCCACTGCTGATTCCAAAATAAAAATGAGAACATATCCCCATAGACTTTGTAATATGATTGCCTAAGGCATGTTCAGGACACAATGCGATCTGGATAATTATTGACTCACTAAGTCCTCATATTTTTTGGCTACCAGAATAATAGATCCCTTGGACAAACTAGCTAAAATCTATATCTGGAAGATAGTCAGACTGCATGGAGTTCTTGTGACAGTGGTATCAGACAACGACCTTAGATTCACCTCTAAGTTTTGGATAAGCCTTCAACAAGCAATGAGAACAAAATTGTCCCTTAGTACAACATTCCACCCCCAAATAGATGGACAATGAGAACGAATTATTCGCACACTAGAGGATATACTCAGGCTCTAAATTTCGAAGGGCACTGGGATGACCACCTACCCTTGATAGAGTTTGCCTATAATAACAGTTATCAGATAGGTATTGGTATGACTCTGTATGAGGTATTGTATGGTCGATCTTATAGGTTAGTGATCTATTAGAAAGAGGTGGGTGACAGAAAATTGATTGATCTAGATTTTTGTGAAGATTGCCAAAATCAGAAAAAACGTTCATACGACCCAGAGTAGACAGAAAAATTATGCAAACATCCAAAAGAGATTTTTAGAATTTGAGAAAGGCGATCGAGTGTTTCTTAAAGTCACTTCCTTTAAAGGAATCACCAGTTTTCTAAAAAAGGGAAAGTTGAATCCCTGGTTCATCGAACAATTCAAAATTTTGGACGATATTGAGATATCCGCTTACAAACTAGCACTATCTTCAGAACTATTTAGAGTTCATAATGTCTTCTACTTGTCGATGCTGCGTAAGTATAACATTGACCTCTCACATATTTTATTTTATAAGCCACTTCCACTTCGGATGATTTATCTTATGAGGAGGTACCAGTTAATATTTTAGATCGAAAGAGCAGAGTTTTCGCAACAGAGAAATTTCTTTTATCAAAGTTCTATGACAAAAATACTCACAGAAGAGACCACCTGGGTGTTGGAATCAGACTTTAGGGCTAGGTATATTCAATTGTTCGACTAGGAGACAACAATTTGAGAGACCAAATTTTCTTAAGGGGAGAGAGTTGTAACATTCTAAACTCAAGAATTAGACTCGTAATAATGTATTTAGTCTCTAAAATAATAATAAAAATTTTAATTATTTTTCTAGAAATATATGTATTTTGCACCTTTGTCAAACAATTTTTAGAAATTATGGCCAAATTGTGAATACAAGGGGGCATTCTTGAAAGAAAACTGAGAAAATTAGGGTCAATTCATAAATTAAAGGAAACGAGCCACGTAGGATCGTCACGTCAGTAACACAACGAACCACAGCGCCCCACGTGGCAGCCACGTTAGCAAGCCTTTCCACACGGGAGTCGAGGTGAGCGATTCGCGTGCTACACCGATATAATAACCCACATCTATTCCCTCTTGCACGAACGAGTCGATTGTGATTCTGCCCGAATTCGAATGAACGACTCTGATCATCCATGTAATGGATCCAACGGTTGCGCGATTAACGGCCCAGATTCATAAAATTGATCGATCGAATGGTCTGAGATGAACACAGAAGAAAAATCAGGACGCCCTAAATAGGTCCGATCAGACGGCCTGCGTTGCTTTACGTGTCCCTGCATGAACGATCCTGATTGAAGAATGAGAGGTATTTAAACCTCTTTTGGCCGGCTCCCCAAACCCTAGCTGCCAAGTCGACTGGAGAATAAGAAGTAGGGGGCATCAGAGGGAGCTTAAATGCCGAAAAAGCAATGGAACCACCGTGTCAGAAGCCAAAACTGACGTTGGTAAGTGTGATTTTTCCTTCTATTCGTCCAATTTTTCCGTTCTAGACCATTTTAAACTATCCTAATGTAAAAAAACCCAAAGGAAAGCCGTAACTTGAGAAAGCAGGCAGTATAGCCGATTGTCGCATCGTGTTAGAGGCCAAATCAACACCGGTAAAGTCGAGATTTCTCTTTTTATTCTGTAAAATGTTTCCTAATCTTGTTTTAGGCTGAATTCCACTATCACTGTACCAATTCTGCCATAACCGAGGGAGAGAAGCGTCGGGGAAGGAGAACCAAGAGATGGAGCTTGGCGGCGGTGCTGCACCGGAACCCCAAACCGACCCCCTGGTGAGATTTTTTGCCTTTTTTGGGCTGTCTCTCGTGTAGTTTGTCATTATTTTGATGTATGTTTCGATATTAGTAGGAAAAACTCAAAAAATTTGGGAACTGAAAATCGTAGTACAAAAAATAGTATTCTGGACACCGACCTAGGGTAAGCATCTCTCACCCTTTTTTCTTGTTACGGTAAAATTGAAAGTAAACCGATAAATAAATGAAAATTTTAGTTAATCTGCAGTCCTCTAATTGATAAAGTACAAGTTGCCAATAGAGCAAGTATCTGGTCAGTTTATGCCTGTTTGAGTTTTAATTGCAGTAACTATTTTGACAGTTGTTTATTATGCTATTCTATTCACTGTACTGCTTACTTTGATGTATTTGTTTTAAATTCTACGACAAACGTGGTAAGGATTTTTTATATATGTTGTCCTGTCATTTAATTATGTGTTTAATATGTTTCTATCCGTATAATGCATGTTTATTTCATGTCCTTCCCCTAAAATGTGAATTCATTACTCATGTGATGTTGGAATACAGATATACGTGTCTCTTAAGGCTAACCAATAAATTAAAGAAAAGATATGCGTAAATTAATGGTGTTGAATAAAAGGGGCTTACCGGGTGTCTTGAAAAAAAGTGTACATACTTGGTACATAGGTTAAATCCTATCGTGGACATTACCCTCAGTCGAACGAGACTGAGAAGTCCCATATTGAAAGAGGTTGGAAATTATTTTAATTACGCTCATACCAAATAGAGTATTGAGGTAATTGTGTATTTTGGTACCCATTATCGGACGGAGTATGGGGACGACCGTTTGATTATAGAATGCATGCTCGTATCCACGTGTAGTGGGGATCCCTATGGACCCCTAACAACATTTGTAGACAAGGTAAAATGATAAAGAAGAATGTGGTAGGGATCTAGTTTTGAGAAATAATGAAAGGTTAATTGTTATATATCTTTAAAATGCGTGTTGTAGATTGCTATCTTGATATTTACCTCAATAAATGACATTTAGGAACCTACAGATGAGTTGAGAAAATTAGTGTTTTCAATAAAACAGATAATGAATGCACTAGTGTTCGAACTTTATTAAAAATGAGCTCTATTGGTTGTTTTATATTTTCTACAAACCTTTAATTTTTCGTATCATTGGTAAGACGTTTATATTCTTACTGATTTAGTGTAGCTCACCATTTTATTACTAACCATTTCAGATCGAGACAACCAAGACTTGGATCCTTAATAGCAAGAAATTAGTTAGAAGATTGCCTCTTCACTTTCCTAATTTTGAGCAGAAGTTGATCATATTTATTTTTTTTATTGCTTTTTCTATTTAAGTTCTCAAGAACATTCTCGTATCTATATTGGGCATTTTAAGTAAACTGTATAAGGAATGTAATCCTAAACTTTAATTGCTTATAGTAAATTATAAATTTCAGTATTACTTATTTTACTATTTATGAGTCATACAGTAAGAATCCCCAGTAGGGGGTGGGCTTTTACATATATTAACCTAATGTTTAAATGGTGGGTTTTTAATGCTTTTCAAAAGGATAAAAAAAGTTTCTTAAAAAACATTAAATTAAAAAATGTATTATGTTTATAAGATGGAATGAAATACAATCTAGAAACTTGTAGTTTAAATTTGGTTATTCTTATAAATTAGGTGTTGGCAGCTTCTTCATTATACTAAATTGGAAAAAAATTATGTATTCTTAAAGTGAAAGAGAGTACGATTTATAGATTTTCAAGAGCTTCAATTTAGTTGTTCTAATAAAACAGTTTTGAAGGCTTCTTCAGAATACTAAACTTTTTCTTCTTTAAGATATTTCAATTAGAATATTATAGAGGTGAAAGCTTCATGATAGCTTACCTAAGATAAAAATCTAGTTAGCTTTGGCATATAACATTTTGACAATAAGTAATATATTAGAATTAAATATTTTTTGGAGAATAAGAAACGAAAAATTTATTATGTGATTAAGTAAATAGTTACTTTCTTAGCTTGATAACTAAGTTGCAATTGTGGAACCTTTACTTTCCCGTTTGTTTTAATTTTTGAGTAGTAAATTTGGTTATTTAAAACCTCTACCCCATATGAAATGATAATCTTGTTAAAAAAATTTTATTACTTTTTGAGGTAAAGCAGATTATACAAATTTTAATTAGTAAAATAGTATTTTTAGATAAATTGGTCTAAAACTTCATTGAAAATGAAAACTACTTAAATCAAGTAATATATACTTTTAATTAGAAAAGTATATGGATGTTTCATAAAGCTTTCATCATGTTCATCTACAAAAGAAAAAAAAAAAATTGTGGGTCTAGGATGTTCTGTCAAGGATTTTAAAGGCTATGTATGAATGTTTTTTTTTTTTTTTATTAGAATGAGAATGTAACAAAAACATATAAATTTTTATCTAATTTGTTAGATATGGTATAAGGTTAAAGAAGCAATTGATAATTAATTTTAGAAGTATTCATATGCTTTAAGAATATGACAAATTAGTCATTTAATGGAAACATATATGAGAAATTTATAACTAGGTTTTTACATAAATATTAAAGCTATTTGATTAATTTATGTCATTATAATATATTAGTTTATTCAACCATAAAACAACATGGGGATGTAGCTCAAATGGTAGAGCGCTCGCTTTGCATGCGAGAGGCACGGGGTTCGATCCCCCGCATCTCCAAAATTTCTCTTTTTAATTTCGTCCCTCTAACGTTATTTCTGACTGGTTTTTCTGCACCTTGGTGGGAAATGATAATCAGAAGATCAACACTGACTAAAACTAAATCCTTCATTAACTTG